GCCTCCCAAGTAGCTGGGACCACAGGCGCCCGCTACAACGCCTGGCTATAATTTGGTTGCAGCCGTCATTGTTGTTTGGCGGGTCGGGCTGGATTCGAACCCGCCAGCTCAGGTGTACGTGGCTGGCACCTTAGCCGCCTGAGCCACAGGCGCTGAGCCCATTAGGCACTTTCTGAAGCTCAAGTAGTCTTCTGAGCATTTCTTTTATGATGAAATCATCTAATTCAGTTGACTGTTTCAGCTAAAAATGGTTTCATTCATGACAAAATGTGTTATGAAAAATGTTCTTATATTTCACATTGTAAGATACCCTATTATTTAAAACTGAATCAGAATCAATGCAGTATACTTTCACACTCAACTTATTACTCTAATAAAGGCTGCCTTTTAACACGAAGTCATTTCACTGGCATGTTATTAATATAAAATGGAACGCTCGAAATAGTTTACTTCAAGCACGGACTACGCAGGCACCAAGTTTGTCAAACAGTGCCCCACCCCTCGTGAGAGTGGACGACCTGAACGTTTTCGTGCCTTCCACCGCGCAACAAACAGCTACGAAAACTGCACACAGACGCCAGCAGTTCGTGTTTACCAGCACGGTTTTTCCTGAAGTGGATTTTGCATCATCCTCAACACCAAATGTCACCAATATTCGGGTACACTGAAGGGAAGAGATGGCCACGGATCCTACGTATCACTCTCCCAACATTCATGTGCATACTCCCCCCATTTCTTTCCCCAGAAGTAGGTAGACGTTAACAATTAAGGACCTCCCCGCCCCGCAACTACGCAATTAAGTTTGTAATTGGGTGGCTCGAATCACTGAGATGAAAATTCAAAGAGTAACAAAACAAGATGCAAAGCGGGTCAGGTCTATTTCCTTTGATATTACAGGATTTTACATTTTAAAAAAAGCATCTACGGGATGCCCAGATTTCCAAAATCCGCCCCTCCCCCTGCCGAAGGTCTTTCCTCTCCTCCCCCCTTTCTGGGAAGTCGCGACTCGACGCGGCCGGGGCCGGGATGCTACTCACCGAGTTTCTCCACCAACTTCAGCATCACCCCTCCGATGTGCACCTCCCCGGTCACTCTCAGCGTGACATCGCGGTTCAGGTCCGTCACATGGACGCTCAGTTCCCACGTCCCGTCCGCATAGCAGCCATCTGGCATCCTTATCCCGTCCAGAGCCATGGCTCCTTCCTGCGAGAGCGGAGGAAATGGCTCTCGTCAGCGTCACTCCCCCAGAGGAAGGCAAATCCCACCGAACTCGCCGCGTCGGCCGCGGGCTGGGAGAAAGCGGGAGACCTCGGGGTTTTTGCGCAAACTAGCGCGGGCGGCGGGGGCGTGGGCAGCGCTGTGCGCCCCGCTCACCCCCGCGGCGGTCCTCGGCGCCCCGGCCGCCCCGGCGCCGCCCGCCCGCACCGTCCCTGCCTAGCGGACCACGGCGGGCTTCACCTGCCGGCCAGCCGCGCCCGGGCTCCGCGTCCCTCCTCGCCGTCCGCGCCCCCCGCGTCCCCCGCCGGGGCCCCAGCCCCTCACCGCGCGCTCCTCGCACTCCCGGTCTCGGGCCCGCGCGGCCGCAGGCGTGGGGTGGTGGCGGCGACGTCCGCGTCCCGCTCCTCGGCCGGCGCGGCGCTGCTCCGGCCGCAGAAACTAATGGCAGCGGCGCTCCACCCCTCTCTCCCCGCCCCCTCGGCCCGAGTCCGGCCGGGGCTTTGCGCGCCGGCTCCCTCCTCCCCCAACCCACACAGCGGCCCGCGCGGGTCTCGCCAGCCTCGCCCCCGGCCCGGCCCGCCCCGCCCCGCCCCGCCCCGCCCGCGGCCGCGCTCCGGTGAGGGGGCTGCGTGGACTCGGGGCGGGGTTGGGGCGGCGCGGGGGGGTCCCGGGGGGCCGCGGCAATCTCAGCCCCGCGGAGCGCTGCCCTTTTATGGAAATGAAGGACCCGGCGCAGGGATTGAATCCAACATCCGGGCTCTAGGCCGCGGGCCCCGAGGAAGGGGAGCGGGGGGAGCTGAGGGCGCGGGCGTGGGGGGCGCCTTCCCGCGAGGGCCTGCGGGTCGCGGGGGGCTGGCGGCCCGGGATGCCCGTGCGCCCGGCCGGAGGGGGCCTGGCCCGTGAGAAACGACCGCGAGACATTCCCAGAGCAAGGTCATTTTCGGACAACAAAGTCCTCCCGCCCACTCCCCACGCCTGGAGCGGATCCAGAAGTCTCAGGGCTCTGAGACGAACCGCACCCCGGAGCTGGAGAGAAGAATTTGGGATGTAGGAACTTTAGGAAGTAAATGCCCAAGCTGGCTCCAAGACATCCCCCTGAAGAATGAGAAAACCCAAAGGGACGAGAACGGCAAAAAACATTGCTTTGCAAGCAACGTCGGCGCTGTGGGCAGCTCCCGCGGGGCTCTCGGGCAGGGCCGGAGTGCTCTCGCCGGAGTCCGATGTGCTCCACGGGGCGGGGGGCCGATTCCGTGCCACGAATTTTACTAGAAACCGCTTCCCAGCCTCTCCGCATTTGTGTATTTTCACAGGCAGTGTAGAACTAACCGCGCACTGTTATGAGAGAGACAATACAGTACAATGTTACCCGCTGTGATATCCTCCACGCGCCCTCGGCCACACCTTAAACAATTTCAGCCACTCTGGACGGCGCCCGCAGGTTCAGGGAGGACGGCGGCTGCTGGAGGACGGCCCTCCTGCCGCCTGCTCTTCTGCCACCACCCCAGCCTCGTGTGCGTTGCAGGGGACACACGAGCCAGGGGTAACTGCCCGGCTACCAAACGCACGGCTACTCAGAAAAACTACCTCTTCATTCTAACAGCCCCGTTTTAAAAGTCTCATCGTCTCTCAAACTGACCTAAACACTCGAAAGGGAAGCCACCCACAACCGGGAAACTAGATTAGAAGCCTCGAGAAGGCGATGGAAACCTTAAAGGAGTGAGAGAAGCAATATTTAGTCAGATGCCAGAGGTTGTGGCACCAAAAAAAAAATAGGGAACCACTACAGTGCTTTTAGGTAGTCATCATGGAGAAATTGATGCCTTCAGTTTCTCTACTCACATTTATTTTTACTCACTTGTAAGGAGTATGAATGTCCAAAAAGGAGGGAGCGTTTATGTAAATTATGGTGTTGAGGGTATATAGGAAAATGGTTTTAATAAAACAGGAAATTGATTGCTAGGGTACAAAACTGCAAAAGTGGACATGCAGCTGTAAAATCACAAATTTATTTTTAAATAGAGAAAAAAGACTGGAAGGAAATACAAAATTTTAAGTTGTATTGGTGTTGAGAACATGGGAGGTGTTTTATTTCTATTCTTTATTTTCTACAAACTCAAACTTTGCAAACGACTTTTCTTTTCTTTCTTT